GCGAGAACGAAAAGAAAATAAGAAAATTAAAACGACACATACGTCAAGTAAAGATTTATATATAACAAACGTAAACAAACATTGTTATGCGCGGTGTATATGCGCAGAACGGACTTACATCATCTTTACACTTATGTATCTGCATTTGGTTATACTCATCGCCTGTCCGATCTACCGGATCCAACAAGAGTTTTCTACGTAATGTAAGTCTCGTGTGAATGTGTGATGAGTTTACCAATCTTCTTAGAAAGACATTCCGCTTCTGTGGACTCGATACTTCTAAATATAAGCCTCATTCATTTCGAATTGGCGCTACTTCCCACGCAGCTGAACACGGGCACTCTGATACCCAAATTCGAACGATGGGGCGTTGGAAATCGAACGCATCCCTCAAATATATTCGATTTTCTTCCCTATCAATAAAGCTTGAATGAAATTTTCTTTCTGAGCATAAATATTTGGAATTTTAATGTGTTCATAAATATCGTTTTTTTTTGACAGATATAAAGCAGCTAGGAGAACCATTACCCCTATAAACATGAGGATATTCGAGTTTTATAAATATCTTTAGCCATTATTGTTTTGCATAACTAAGCGTGTTTCCACTTCGAAGCATGTGCGTACTTATGCGCGTGCGCAGTTTGAGTTTGCCTGACAAGCGCATGCGTATTTGCTACTAAAACAATGGCGGTTCGAATATTTCGAAACGCGAAATTAGCAAACTTTGGAGGAATTGTTTTCCCAATTGTGCACCTGTTTCGCTTGGGGAACAATGGATTCTGATAAAGTAACTTTTTATCTATTGATTCATCTGAAAATTATGTAGTTCCACGAGGGGTGCAACGGAATCTGTTTTCTAATGACATTACTTTGTCTGAATGGAACTCGAATATTAGTCAGTCTAGTTAAGTAGTTTTTGTAAATTGTAGAATATTTATGCGCTTTATTTAAAGCGGTGTCTACCACTGACCTACATTAGAATCTAATATAGGTCAGTGGTGTGTACACTTGGAAGATAGATCAGAGCGCTTATTCAGCACTCTCTCCTTGTCTGATTTTAATATAAAAAGCTTTTCATCAAGCAAAGATTGCAACTTTTTCCGCCAGGTCTAAACGCTACTTTATAGAAGAGACCACTTAATTATGAATTCTCTTTAGCTTTGTTTCAATTCCTACGCATACCTCGAGAGTTATGTTTCCATCAAATAATGTATATTGTTCAGAGACTTCTTGTCTTCCGTTGATGCACGGTTGATGTTACTTCGGCTTTGTAAACGAGGCTCTTAGTCAGACACTTTCCAGCTAGCGGACACTCATCTTTTCCATTGCAGTAATTCTCCTTGGACTCTTCCTTTTTTTTTCTAACACACGATTGTTGTGGTTTGAGATAATATTTCTGATGTTGCTCATGCAGGAGCCGTGAATTCAATATATATGGAAGGCTCGCTCTAGTACATTGCGTAATCTAAAAGTGAAGGACCTCATTCATGGAGGTCTTGATCGGTACCCAAGCAGCCTTCATGACCCGCCATGTTTGGCTTCACACTTTCAACTGGAGCGAGCCTTCCATATATATAGAGTTCACTGTGCAGGAGTAACTGACCTTTACTGTACTTTGATCGCTGGTTTCGATTAAAGATTTTGTGAAGTCGCGATATTCAGGGAAATGTTTGTCAATCGATTTCAGGAAATCATGGGCCACGTTTGCTTTCACGTCTTTGCTGAAGGGAGGATTGAACCAAATGACTTTCTGCTTTCGGTTTTTACTGTTGGGTGGAGTTTTGGGTCTGGGGCTGTTGGTTGTGATAATGTAATTTGACGTTGTGGTAACTGCGGTTGAGTGCATTCTCGTGTTTGTTATAACGCTCACATGGCATCATACTTGCTCTATAAAGACGATTTTCAGCCAATCGGCGACCAATAGAATTAATGAGAGGCGTCCCTTTTTTTCTCAGCTGGTTCTGACGTATCCTTTGACTCATTTACCTCCATCGATAAAATAACTTCGTGGTAATTTCTGCCAAAAGACAACGTTGTTCTCTTTTCACGTTCGAACTGCGTTATCTTTTTAACTATATAACTGTGGGGACAAAACCCCGCCTTTTTTAAAGCCCACCCCCGGCCCGCTCGGCCTAAGTGATAGCTTTTGCAGTCTGTTAGGGCCCTTAATAATTTCCAGATACTAGCAAAATAACCATGCTTATAAAAAATTCTAGCGATATTCTCTCAACATTCCGTTCGGAATACATTATTCACCCCATATCAGCATTTGTTGACCAATTTTGTGGAAAGTGGAAAGCAGCCCGGCCTTATGCTTAGGTCGAGCCAAATTCGTCCCACGCATTACGCAAATACGCCTCAAAAGCTCTGGCAAATACTTTTAAGCCAATTATAATAATAATAACATTAAATAGCTGTTGTTGTCATGCCCAAAAGCACACCAAGGGTGATTTCGTTTCAGCTCGAAACAAGAAACTTGGTTTTGTATTCACCGGAAGGTGGCACAATATATTTTGACAAGAGCTCGAGATAAATTTATTGCATGTGACAACCCACGGAGAATGAGATTTCTTTGTTTTGACTAAACGAAAACAAAACCTTAACGAACAAACGGGAAATATTATAAAAAATTCAGTTCATGTAGCTACCAGCCATCAAGATGTGACGAGTATGATAAAATAGCAGTCGATCTAACTGAATACATAATGATTTTGAAGCACTATAGATGAAACCTAAAATCCGTTGCTGGTGGGTGTAAATATCTGCATGCTGTATATAATGACCAAATAAATGAAATGCTTTCTTAAAAACAAAATGTCCAAATTATAAAATATATTTAAATAGCTATACACAAGTTAGCTAAAAACTAGCTCATTCATTTCCCCATGTTCATCTCTATATTATTAATATTGGAGGTTCATAAATTTGTTAAATAATCATTTATACATTTCGTTTATATGATGGATTATTTCTCACCGAAAATAACTACCTCCTGCGACGATATAAATTATCGCTGTGCTATATTTACCACAATGGTATATATTCTAATTTATACTTAATTTGTTTAATCGCCAACTTTGCTTGGGTAGGCATGTCCAATATGATGGATACATTCTGGAAGTTTTTTTAATAAAGTTTACGACCAAATGACTAATTCTTAATGTGCCTGATATTTTTCCAAATGCATGATGTCTGTATTCTTTCTAAGAATTTGATAGAGAGGTTCAGTTTGTGCTGCATGCGTTGCACAAAAACATGACGTTCATCTTAGGACTTCTGGAACTAAATTCTTATAACCGGGATGATACCTCTATTAATAAAAGTGTGTGCAGCCGCTACCATGCATGCACAACGAATGATTGCTATTTGATCTCCAAGAGTAATTTCCGTGCATTTAAATTTAAAATTGTTGTAAGCGAATTAATGCATAGGATACCGAACTTCGTGATAATACGTAATCCTCCACATTCACAGATTGTTAGGGGTGTATAAGAAATTATTTCACTCGTAATATTCTAACGTCACGTCCAGATAAAAAGTATAATGATCTTACAAGCCGACAATATACAAGACAATGTGCCCCCTACTTTTATCATGCATTACCATGACTCGGTTAACTTATAATATTCTCGACTGATTTACTCCAAATGAATGGCCGTAATGGCCCTAATAATGATCAGCTCAATTTTTATGACAATTTGCCTCCAACGCCTGATGATCTTAAGATATAGTAACTCGCAGAGGTAAGTTTCGCTAGAGAAGTATCTATACATTTTTCTTTTGAATAAAAGCAATGAGGTAGAACTAATTACTTATCAAGTCGCATGTTCAATAGATTATGCAGAGTATTTCGACAGAGAAACATTTCTCTGCTACTGGAAATTAACCTTCGCTCCCTTGGCCCCTGATTTACCGATTGCGCATGCTTCTTGTTAAACTTTTCTATTAAACTTTTCAAGGTGTAGAGTCAGAACGCGGCATGCTAATGGAACACTACAGGTAAGTACACAAATAATGAAACCATTAACAGTAAAGCCTTCAGTTTGTGTTTTCACCGTGCAGCCACAATCGTTTTTTTGACCAATGGTTGGCTTGCTAGTGTTCAAGCTGTGTACTAAATGACATCGTGCTGGAACAACGCTAAAGTGTTTAATCCAAACAAAGTGAATACTAATAGACAGTTTGTGAAAGCTTTCATTCTCTATAGAATGTCTCTTCCTCTGCAGAATAGCTACACAGCGGGATAGTGAGCCTCACTCTTTCTTGTTTAATGAACAGACAGAATAGTACATGAAAACATCAAAACACTGAACATAAAGCTCTGACTTCTATTTATACATAACATGCATGCCTACGGTTTAACTAGTCAATGCAACAATGTTTCTTTGTGTCCTTCCATCGAAAACATCTGATCACAAATCAAATTATGCAGACCATACGATATACCGTATACGGTTTAAGTCTGATATCAAATGTCCAAATCATTATTGCGTATATGAGGCATGTTTACTGCCAAGGAATTAGAGTAATTCGATCCACGTATTGAAAAGATTCAGAAATGTTTTTGCTAATCCTCGGACAATTTGTAACATAAGGTTTTTAACCAATGTTTTGTGTGTAGTATGTAGTTTTGTGTGTGCGTATCCTGCGCCAATTATCCATCGCAGCATTGATGTCCTATACATACTTGAAACATCTAAAAACGTTCCTTTGCAAATTTTCAATTGCTGAGTGGAAGGCCACCATTTAACTCCGTTAAAATGTTGTGTAGTGCTGTAATTAAAGGACACGCTATACATGTTCCCAAAGAAGATTCGTGCAGCCGTTGTGTTTAACCAAACTTGATTAATTGATCTTATCATTGATTCAATTGTATCATAGTGCAATTTAAATATCCATTTACTTATAAAACATATATAGTAGGTCATTTTCCGATTGACTTTTGGACTGATGACTATGCACTGACGCCTAATCACAGTGTATAAGAACGGACCGCATATCTGATATTTCCTCTGCCATTTACCAAGTTTGCATTCTTCGGTTAATATTAACATTTTATTTTTGACAAAACATTTAGAACTCTAATGCATTTCACAGCATGACGACACTGGGTATTTATGTTTCATGTTTCAACACATCACGATAGCCCCATTTTACTCTAAATTTTAAGTGTTATAAAGGATCAAAGAATAGAAATTAAGAGTATATTACACTACAGGCAATAGTGTAGTCTGGAACTAACCTTCGGAATTGATTATTTTATTTTTTGACAAACAAATTTCTGTGAGAGTTCTTAAGTGACGCTGATTGGTAAGGCGGGGCAAACTAGTAATCTATTGTTGCGTCTGGCTAGGAATATATATCTGAATCTGAAAGTAGCAACAATATATCCTAATAATCTAATATTGAGTGTTTTCATTCCTGCTAAGAGATATGTCAGTAAATGTTTCAGTACACTGTTGACAAGAGATGTTGATGAATTGTTACGTTTACTCTAATAGACATTTTCACCCCTACATTTTCGTAGTAAAACAAACGAACTTCGATATTAATTAAATTTGCTTATAGCTAAACACAGTAGGCGGGAATCCCTCCCTGAAATTAATTGTGCACGCCTCCTTATGTTTAAGTGTCAAATATAATAAGTGTTGATTGATTTTGATTGGCTATTGCAACCATTAATCTATTTACTGACTGATAACGACTTACGTTAAATACTCATTCCCACAGAGAAAAGGATTATTTACTTAGAGCCCACACTTTAAGAACAGCACTGAGAACACTTAACTTTTTCTACTCAGATATACGGCATCAGACAGAAACATGAATATCTTTGCAGCTACAGTGATACCACTTTTATTGCTGGTCAACTTAGCTGATGGCGTTGTGTTCAGTTGGCTATGGAATGTCTATCCTCTCGAACATAACTCAAGCACGACGTTAAACCCGACCACAAAACAGGTAAGATTGAGTTACATGTTGTTTCGAGGCGATTTTTTCAGCGCAGACAAAGCTGGAAAGCGATTGAAGCGGCAAGTCTAAAATAAGGTTACTATTCGTCGTTTTTCACATTTTTTTATTTCATGTGCAGATTCGTCAGCATGGGTTAATAATATATCATTAAATGACAGTATATAACATTCTACAACGTTCTACAATATAAATATGCTCGTTTTGTTCGTCTACAATTGTATATTGTATTAGCATGCGATAGCTAAAAGTTAGAACAGTACAAAATATGGCATTTGTTTCCTCAGAGTTGTACAAGAGATCGGCATTGTGGAACAGCGAACTACTGTCATCGCCACTACGGCACTTGTCATAAATGCAAGAAGTTTGGAGCGAAATGTCGACGCGATCATGTTTGCTGTAAAGGTTCCGAATGCGTCTTTGGAAGTTGTAGAAAGATCGTCAGGAAAGGAAACTTCCTTTCCCGCTGCAGGAAAGATAGAGATTGCAAGAAAGGAATGTGTTGTGCCAAGAGTCATGGAGAGTTTGTGTGCAAACCTATGCTGAGAGAAAATCAAATTTGTTCTGTCCTGGAAGGTGGGGTCGCTTACACTGTGAACCACGGTTGCCCATGCGATGAGGGTTTGGTGTGTAAAAGATGGAAAATTCGAAGCAAAAGGTAATATATGCTATACGTAAAAGGGCATGGAACATGTACACACAGAAATATCTTATTTTAAAACTATATAGTGTTTGTGTGAAGCCCATGGCCAGACGCCAACAACCATTCGATAGCAGACTAAAAACTTGTACCATATTACTGCTTGTCCTAATGAAATTGTATTAAATTTGCTCGGATAATGTGATAATACTGCTCCGTTTTCATTGCCTTGAGCAATATTGGTATCCCTTGCAATATTCTTCACTTTAATTTCCAAACGTGCTACGGGTAGTAAATATTAGCTTAAGGTAAGAAAATTAGATAAAGCATTTTGCGAGGTTCTTTGTTGTGAGAATAATGGATGCATAATTAACACCTTTTAAACACTTAGCCTACTTGTCTCTTTGTTGTTAAGGGTAAAAGGAATTAATTCCACAAAGCAGAAGGCAAAGATTAGACGCTGCCAAAAGATTCCTTCTTGACGTGAATGTTAATTAAATCCGGAGGATAACTACCAACATTATATTCTTAGGATTAGAACGTTTATAGAAAGTACTTCAATGCTGGTATGACCAGTCAATTGAGTGACAGTTATCATCATGGGGGAGATTTAACCAAAATGATTATACTGAGTTGTCAGTCATGCTCCGATAAAGGTAAAAGAACACTCACGTTATAACTGATATACGAATATAAAATGTATTATAAAATGTAAATAGTAGCTATATTTAGAGACAGGCCTAATCCGTTGAATAAAATATGCTATATGGTGAATTTGGAGAATATAATAAAATATGTCATATGGTATTGGTTTATACGTATACATAACACTAAAAAGAACTTGTTGTTGTTCAATTCTACACTGATAAGAACATTAGTAATATCTAATTATTTTTCCAAACAACGTACATCATGCCATTCTTAACACAAAATGAGTGTATCAACCGTATGCGATAACACCATAAATTAAATTTATATCGCATCTCAAATGCCAAAACTCTGAAATTTTATAACTATATCTGCTGTATATCTACTAAAGATCTTACATGATATTACTAGCTGTATATAATCAACATGGGCATCGACTTTGATATTTAAAACGATATACAAATAATGCAGAAAACTACATCACCATGAATGAAAAGGGAAGTTTGAATGGGATGGACGTTTTGAAGTACTTAATTAAAAATAATAATGAAAATTCCGATACTATAATTTGACATATCACAAGTTACGGCCGAGATGTTCGTTGAGTGTTATGCGGAATGCTCCAGAAAGCATTACAACTCAGTCCCCAACATGTGGCCGAATTCCAAGTGTGCATGTTTAATCATCAGAATTATATTCTGTGTGTGTTTATATATATATATATATATATATAATATATTATATTATATATATATATATATATATATATATATATATATATATATATATATATATATATATATATAAATAAATGTTCAATCTAAAAATATTGTCATCGCTACACGGTGTTTCACGCTCAACGGGCGATCATCAGGCGATCGCCTGTCACTTGTGAACACATGGTTCAATTAAGAGTAAAAGTACAAATATATCAAAATTTGCAGAAGTAACTGCATAACGATATGTAAGGACGAAACTCCGTAATGTCAATAAATCTTAAGTAAAAATCACAGTCGTTCCCAACTCGGCCTTGTAGCTCAGACGGTAGAGCATCGTTCTAGAAATGCGAAGGTCGCGGGTTCGATTCCCACCGCGGTCAAGTAGAATTTTCTGCTTGCCCGGTTGGTTATACTTGTGTAGAAGAACATACTAAATATATATATATATACAGTAGGAGGCAAAAGTTTGAGTCCAGTGACTGTATTTCATTGTTTTAGCAGCATATATTAATATCCTACAGAAAACCTTACCGATAAGTGAACTAGAAAAAAGTAAATAAGTAAACAGAAAAATACATGCTGTACAACAACTATGAGATGTTATGATATTCATTTTTACGTATTTTAATGTGCAAACATGTATTTACATGTCATTGCTTAGTTCCCTCTTTTTGCTCTTGAAATGACCTTTATTCTTGCTCGCATAGATTCCATAGGTTTTTTAATGTCACACGTTCAATACCTTGCCAGCATTCGTTGACCACTTGCCTCAAGTCAGCCTGGCTGGCGGGTCTGTGCCTCGCCCTCTTCCGGTTAAAACGGTTCTACAAGTGCTCCATAGGTTTTAGATCTGGAATATGAGGTGGAAAGCCATGACAACGAGATCACCAGAATGAGTTTGCTTCTAAAAGATTTCTGGCACATAGAAGATGTGCATGTGCTTAGGGTGATTATCATGTAGTTAGACGTGCGATCATCTTTGTACCAGATGAAATTCCATGTCCTTGAAGAATTGGATGATACTTTTTTTAATTAGGATCCTATTATATCTTTCAATATTGCCAAACCGAGCATGACCAAAGCAGCTAAAAGTTTGCTTGAGTAGGATTAGTTTCTTCGAACCGTCCAAGGTTAGTTGCATACAACTTTTTAAATTCTCACTTTTTCTGCGACCTTACGAGGAAAGAATCCTTCAATACTTAATGCAACTATTTGTCCTTGTGCACCATCACTTTGCCCTTTTTCCCACCCATCTTGGGCAGTGTAAAGGAATGAGAACTTTATTTTGTTAATTTAGATCATTAGGACCAAAACAGTGTGCAATTAATATAGTTTACAGTTCTGAAACACTAGCACGCATGTCTTAACTCGAATACGCTGCCAGGATTTAATACTGGAATTCTACAACGACTGGACTCAAACTTTGCTCCTACTGTATTATAATATATATATATATATATATATATATATATATATATATATATATATATATATTATTTAAACGTTGGCCGCAGATAGATAGATAGATAGTAGTCTAATTAGATTCATATGCATGCATAAAATTTCAATCATATTACACAACATATGCAATTCTAGATTCGAGTATCTACCTATCTGCGGCCAACGTTTTTGCAAATGGGTGTATATATATATATATATATATTATATATATATTATATATATATATATATATATTATATATAATATATATTATTATATATATATAATATATATATATTTATTATATATATATATACATATATGTATGGTTTATATACCGTATGTTATTTACCAGATTGGAGGTCCGTATGGGGAAATTTTTCCTGTACGGAAATAGGAGTAATTATCGTGTAATATCGACCTGTTTCCAAAACTCAACTGCGCATGAAAGGCCAATGTTAATAAAATGTGTTAAATCAGATACGAAATACTCCACAAACCTCTTGAAAGAGATTGAGAAGCTGGCATTTCTTCATACAACACGGAGATAATTAACCAGTAGCTATATCTAGTTATAACAAGTCATCCAAAATGTCAGGTTTAGGCGGCAATTGCTCACACGTATTGGCCGAGATCATAATATTGTAAACATTTATCGGAGCCTTTTTTTATTTCCCGCCAATTCGTTACCAAGCCCCACGGCTTAGCCACACGTTAAGGTTGGCCCGTTTCGTCCATTGTATCAACCGAAAAAATCACGAGTCCATCATACTTTTACTTTTAGAAATAACTGAGAAACTGAATACACAAAAAACATAACTTTCTCTAAAAACCCTAGGCCGAATCACGTGCAAAAATTATGAGATTTTTAGATTTTCCTGCCCTCCATAGTCAATGTTGAAAAAATTATGCAACGGCATCAAATTTTATAATTTGTTGTAAAATATGAAATTTGATTGCCGCTCGTGTTGGTCACGTGTAATATATATATATATACATATATATATATATATATATATATATAATATATATATATAATATATAATATTATATATATTATATATATATATTTATATATATATATATATATATTTATAAAAGCAGTATATATTGGGATAATATTATTAAATATCTGATACCTTGTTTTAGTTTTGCAAGCTAAAACCTTTTCATCACTTACTTTTCTTCTTTCACTCCCAATCTCTCTCACATCTTTGAGGCTACTGTGCAAACCTTTCTAATATCAGAGTCCTCGCAGAGCTTGTCCTTAATAGCTGGCTATTGTAAAACATTATATAGGTATATTCTTATCAAATTACATTCTTAAATGTATCATATTTGATTGTAGTCTAAGGTTAAGGACAACATCATTGCTAGGAACAACTTGAATTAAGTACCCAAAGTCTAACAGACCAATTGAAGGCCACAAAGTAAGTGTGGTTACTGTGGTGGTTATTACTCTCAATATATGCATATTAATACCAAGTATGTTCGTTTCTTATTAAAATTAATTAACTTTATCATTTATGCATGATTTCGCTGGCTGACGCATAATTTTACTTTGATCTATAATGTACAAATAAAATCAACTATCTATAAATAACCGCAACTTCTTGATAGAAAATATTCCAGCCACTTCGTTTTTTTATTGATTTCTTTTCTGCCGCCATTTCTTTGAATACGCAAAAATTGTGACTGTTGTCTTTGGAGTGGATACTTAGGGAGACAAGGGGATATGATCTTGGCACCGACTGTTCATGTTGGCAACGACCGTTTACGAAAGTGAAAATTACAGCGCCGCGCGAGGGTACTAATTCCGCCCGGAGATTAGGAATTTCAGGCTAAAATAACTAGAAACTCCTGATCGTTTCGTGTTCTTGGCTCAAAGCTATAAATTTTAGGTCCTTTGTTCCGTGATCGCGATTCTCGAACTCATGGCAATAAACTATAAAGTATATGATTTCGAGGGGGCCAAATTCCGAAAGGGGGCCATATTTCCTAGGAAATATCTCCCCCGGGGGGGGGGGCAAATTTGTACACAACTGTCAGGAACATTTGAATTTACCAAGCTTCCTCAATTTTCTCTCTCCTTAACCCTCGCCCGCGTTTCTAATTTCAGCAGTAGCGGTCATCTTTAAAAATCTAGCGCATTCGTATTCGAGGCTTCAGCGGAGGAGAGAGGGTCTATAGTAAGTGTTCATCACAACATAGTTTTAAAAGATTGCGGAATGTTATATGCTAGTTCAGTCGTCTTATTATAATAATCCAATAAGTGTGACTTAAATTGTCCAATGCCAATGGTAACATCCGATCTGCGTATATGTGTCGGTAGACTGTTGAAGATTCTTGGAGTTTTGTTGTAATAGCTATTTTGATATGTTAAGATGTTTACTCTTGGTATGTCTATACTAATGCTATTCAATGCTCCCTGTGACACGATTACTTAACTTAACTTTTATGTTTTGGCTGCCTCTCATTTCTTTAAAGAAGACGCCTCTTGTGGTAGATCGTTCATATAAACATGGAATAATAATTGCAAAGGGTCGTTCACATAAACAAGGAATAATAATTGACCTGACAGCACTGGTATTGGTTGTGATATTTTGCCTAGAACTGTAACTTGCTGATAGCGGTCAGTGAGATTTTCAAACCAGGCCAATAATGTTTTTCTTTTATACTAAGCATTAACATAATGTATGAATATGTAATCTGAATATATTACATTTCTGAATTTTCATCTGAATATATTACAGTCTTTCTTGTCAAGTTCTGCAGCAATTCTAAACCCAAAGCGGCTAATTCATTGGGATTCCGAGGATTGAAAGCAAAACTTTGACGGCGTTGTTATTTCATACGTTGTAAAACTCGCACAGTATTTTCTTCGTCGCCGTTGCTATTGATTCTGCCATATTTATTTAGATAGTATAACAATGTTATTTTTGTATAAATCCCACGGCTGCCACCACCGCAATTATGTTTCGAGCAACATCCCCTTTAATATCAATCCACTTAGGCTCCGAGCCGGTGCGGAGCACCGTGCGAGGGTACTAATTCTGTTGGGAGATTAAATACACCCAGGTATTTTGACAGAACATAGCAGAATTCAAAGTTGTCCAAATTCTATGTCATAGACGGTCGACGTTTGTTTTGTAAGTTATGCGCATGTGCGAAATTTAAGAGTGTAAAGACTGGTAATCAGCAATGTCCTGATTGGCTAAAATGGAATGTTTGTATTTAATTGAGAACGTCAGCAAATTATTTAACTGTCATTTCCCGAACTATTTTGTAAAAATATTTCACAAAGTAAAATGAGCACATTTTTTTGTTTATGGACATGCTTTTTTAAAAAAGGGGATAAAATTTAGGACGAGCGATTAATGAAAAATGATATACATTCTATATGAGCTAACAATGTGTTGCGGAATTTAGGTTACCGCATCAGAATGGTTGAGTATACCAACATAGTATGGTTGTATGGTATATAATGTTATGGTGTAAATTATATATGTATTGATAAAGGAATTTTTATGTAATGTTAATAGTGTAATATCGTATAGCATAGGGAATGGAGGTTTTGAGACAGCATGTAGTAGCAACCACGAAACCAATGCCCCATGCACACAATAACGTAAGCGGACGCAAATGTGGTTTGTAGTGGAGCGAAACCCGCAGAAAAACATCCCGCAGGTTCTGTAAGAGATGCGCCAGGGAAATGCATCATTGATTGGTAAAGCATCCTGTTTGTTATTATATAAATATAGGTTAAAATCATTGTTGTAAGTTAGCTGTATATTAGAGCATGAATTGTTGTAAAGTGTTGATTCCTGAATATTATCAGTCCCAGAGTGTGAGATTTCGACCAGCGAAGCGCGGAAAATCAAACTTGTTTGGAGATTTTCAACAACCAAGTTTTTTAAACAGGTAGGTGTCTTTTTGGTTTATTCCTTATTTACTGTATTGAAAAAGATGTATAGTTTATTGCATGCTTTTGCATGCTATTTGCAGCTGATTTTGCAAAGATAGAACCGAATACGAAAAGCTATTGGAACGGACGTTCGCAAGCTGACAATTTGTTATTAACAATTTACTATAGATTTTATTTCAATGGGCGCTTCCCTTTACTTGGTAAAAACGGCCAGACCACTCCTGTTTTTTTCGGTAAAGACAGATTACTGGTATTTTAGAGCGTTTTAAGAAATCTGCATTCAAGTATATCGTTATTTACATCCGCCTAGCACGAAAATGCAGAGATTCAACGCTATATCTTCAAAAAAATACTATATTTCAACTCAATTTCAATATATGGCCGGTCTGATCATTTCAGCCGCTTAATGGAAAGCGCCCAATGATTCTATTCGATTCAACTAATTGATTTGCATGCAATTTGATTAAATTAGTGGCCAAGTGTTGACAGTTATTTATATATATGTACCATATAATATATACCAATTAACACATACCATTATATATAACAAGAATATAAATATAAACACCGCTTTTTTTAGTCCTCCAGTCTGAATTGGCCTTAATATTTTGTACAGCCGTTCTACATGTTCACATTCGTTATGGTCACATGGCCACGCACATGTGCCCACAAACATCAGCTTATAATATGCTTTCAAGGGATTTAAATAGGAAATTGAAAGATCCCTGAACCAACAAATTGTATTCCAAATTCCTCAATCCCCCTAAAAAGGCAATGCTTCATGGTCGAAATTATACAACACCACGCCACCGTCAAAATTCTTCCTCATTATCTCTTGCTGCCGTACTTCCACAGTTATTTCACAACCATGTATAGATATACTCATGTTTGTGGAGTTCACAATGCAATTAAAAGAACGCAATTATCTTATGCCAAAATTTTCATCACAATACAGTCAATAATGCCGTCCTAATATACCGACTATTTGTGGTATATATAGAGTGGTTGTATGTATTATCTTATTTTATGCTTAGATATTCGTTTACACACCTACCATGCTGGTAATAAATAGAAGGAGCCATGTAACGTTCCCCCACCCCTGACTGACATTAATTGACAATGAGGACGAGCGGGATGCTTTTGCAAATCTAGCTTCATCATGTGTTGAACATAACGGACATGTTGTCGTCTTTGATTTACTGTAAATGAAATACATCATGTTTTAAACATTAGCCAGAAAAAGAGAATATCTATGATTCGGAGTTTACAAATTTTTTTTATAACGTCCTCAATCCCCAAAATACGAATGTTAGCATGTCATTCCGACAAACCAAATTGTTTTGTTCTGTTCATATAGCGAAACTTCACCCCGCATCCCCCCACAAACCGAATAAAGTTTTCAGCTGTGACGTTACTATTTCTGGTTGGCCGTAGCCTGCGTGCAGTCCCAGACTTCCAGAGGAAGAAGGAAGAATTCCTTTGAAAGTCTGGGACTGCACGCAGGCTAGGTTGGCAGAAGTTGGCGACAAATTAGGAATTCGACAAAGTTGTTGACCGAAGGCAAGTTGTATAAAAGACCAGTTAACTTGTAAATGTAGTTAAAGATAGAATTGGCCAATCATTCGTGTCTTTCTGAGTTAACTAGGTTATAACTATGCGAAATGTAGTTAAACAGTTTTATACAACCGGCATCATACAAAAAATCATCCCAAAAAATTTCGCCGCGAAAACTCAGTTAATATGAGGAAAATATTCTCCCGCTCAGTTCAAGGATGGAAACTCTTGTAATAATATACAAATGCATACGAAATTCCCTAGCAAAATTTCATATGAAAACAGCGAGAATCCCCTCAAATAAATTATCACGAATAAATTTTAGATAGTCGAACAACATTATTCCATAAAACTGTTTTAAAAAACAAATGAAAATGTCCAAAAAATGTACAAAATATTTGCCTATTTGCCGAAAAAATATCGCGGGACGATGTGGACGATAAGTTGTTTTCATATAAAATTTTGCGAGTGAATCTCGTATATTTGTATATGTTATTACAAGAGTTTCCATCCTTCTCAATAACTATATCTTATGCTTCGCGATGCTTATGATGACGTCACTCACAGTCACAGCGCAACTGGACTAACTTTTATTATTTTAAAAAAAATTTATTGGGATTATGTTCACATGAACGTAATCAAGTTTATGTTATTGTTTCTTAATAAGGTGAGATCTCGTTGGCAAATTTGCCGAAAATTTCCCTCGCTAACCTTTACTTTTTGTTTCGGTACAGTCAATTTTTATTGAAAATATACAAAAAATTAACCCGTGATATTGATTGAAAGGGATATTTGATATGTGGATTATCAACAAATGCATGTCGGTATGATAAATTAGAATTAATTAAAACTCGATGAAGTTTTCATTCTAACTATTATTTATTTCAATATTTTGTCACCATGCCTTTGACGGAATTAAAAGCAGATATTTCACTTACGCCACAAGATTTTTTTGTGAAATATCCTTATTGCAATATTTTCGAGCACGATATCGTCTTCTTTTGAGTTTCATTCTGTTTTTTCTCGTCCGTGCCCTCTTCTGTTTCTTACATTGCTTTCTTTTGCGCTTTTGACCATACCTATATATAGTTAATGTGGAGGAAGTGCTTAAAAAATATCTACGCAAACACACTATGTACAAAGTGTGTAGCAACATTAACATCATAGTATACTATACTTTATCTTTATATTTTAATTTATTATTATTATTAAGATTGGGACAATGTGTAACCCGAAGGTAAAATTACAAAGTTCTTACAATAAACAATGTTCAAGTTTATGTTAATTTAAATATTCTAAAAATACCAGTACATCACTAAATACACTATATATGATATAAGTTATACTTTATTTTTACATTTTCAATAAAATAGAAGACGCTAACATAGTAGATATATTAAATTAGATAAAACCTACCAGTCTCTTTCGAGGTAACTTGAGGTAAAAAAGGGTTTTCTAAAACGATCTGTTTTGCACGAATGATCTCTATATGTGCGTACGGATGACAGTTCGGGAAACAGTTCTACTAATTCATCGTTCGGCTTGATTTTTAAAAAAGAAATTACATAACTTCCCGTTGATCTTTTAATGTAATCATTCCTATGCTACTTAGTGCATCTCGATAGCTTAGTGAGGGTAGGATAATCCTCAATGCTCGTTTTTGTATTCTCCCAAATCCCTAAAATCCTGGCTGATTCAACGCCGTTGATTGGGATTCCGTCTACGAACAAAGGCGAAAGTGTCTATTTTTCTTTAAAAAGTTAAGTATTTACATTTAGATATATTAAGCATCATCTTATTTTTATTTGTCAACGTCGAGATATAATCCACTAGGTCTTGAAGGTAAGATGTGCAATTTGGTCTGATACTTTCAGCACCAGTGCTATCATCAACATATTTCCAGCCATCTTTCCGATCTTCAAGCAAATCGTTAATCATAACCAGAAAGAGGATCGGCCCTAATACAGGCTGGATGGCATGGAGGCTTGTTGGAAAGATGCATTGAAAAAAGTTAAGCCAAGAGCTAAGGAGTAGTCCTTCAAAACCCAGTTAAGGATTTCATCGCCCCGATGCTTTTGAACATGAAATATTAGATAACTTATCATAAACGTCGATCTCGATGATTATAAAAAACTCGGGTAAAATTTCTGACCGGCCATACTCGTTATCTATCTGGAGCATATGATAATGGTTTAAATCTTGAGTGACAGAGATAAAGGCGTCGTTTATATTTTCTCTCTCTGCGAGTTATTTTACGCCAAAGGTCTGATTATATGAGGTAAAAGTCAAGGGTATGTGATTTTGGGGATAGCCCACCAACTGTGTAACGGTATCCCACCATTTCTTGTTGTTTTTACTGGATTTCAGTTCGTCTAATTTGGTTAGGAAGGGTGATCTTAATCTTTCACCGTCTCAAACAACTTGATTTCGGAGTTTACGGTACATTAGCTGATCTCCATCGTGGGATGCTTTTTGTCTTTCAGCAATAAGGTGTTTGTATTCAGGTGTTATCACGGCTTATCTTTGTTATGTAATTTGACAGTTCTCTTTGGTAAAAAACAATCAAGAAAAATCGACTTGCTGATACGTGAAGGATCACTAACAATTGATCATAATTGGCTAGAACCACATAATCGAAGAATCAATGAACAAGATTGGCTAAGACCGGTTAACCGTAAGATACCATAACCGTAAACTCAATGTAAACTAGAAAGGTAACTCGTTCGCTATCTTCGGATTCAATTTGAAGCCGAATGGGGTGTGCCAGTCTATTTCTATTGTGTTTTCTTTTCATTGTGAACAAGCACTCCAGTCTTTATAAACTTAACTATCCTAAAACAATAATTTGGCGGCCATCTTTAAAGCCACCAAATGAAAGCCGGCCATTTATAACCGGAAGGCAAAATTACACACGTACCTTGGAAGTGGATCGCTGGCTTTGAGATGAGTAATGTTGTACCCCTGACTTTGCAAAATGCTAATAATACTTCTTTGTCCAATGAAATGACCTGATTGAGGAAAACAAAGTGATTATAAGGCAATCAGGATTGTATCGTACCTAGAAATGTTTGTTATAAAAATGTTCTCGCAAAAATGTAAACGATGTGGGTCAATGTAGAATTACACATTAGAAATCATTACTTTTTCTCTAACTGCAACATTTTCTAAAAGGTTTAAATTTGCCATGGGTAATACAAAAGTATAGGAAATTCGATATCCTAGGAGCTATGCACATAACAATTACCAAGCATGCATGTTGGCTAATTTTGGAATGATCTTACAGGTTATCGTAAATAAAAAGGTTTAATACAAAAAATTTCTAATGCGCAAGGGGTACCACTTCATCGATATGTTCAAACAAACAATTTAGTTCAGTTAAATACACAAGGAAAATATTAGCCAACCTGCACCAAAAGCAAACAACATTCTTCGCTTTGGCAATTCATTTATTATTTTCACAATTCTGTTTGCCATCTTTTGATTTCTTTTAAAGATCAATGCTTCCTTCATGTAGTCGTCGAACCGTTTGGCCTTAAAATTTTTCTCTTGTATCAAGCCTCTTGTTTTTGAAATATTGGCGTTGTTAACAATGCCTGATACATCTTGTGGAAAGATGACGTCTTTTAGATTGCCACAGTTATAATGAGTTATCAGTTGCTTGATTGTAAATGGCAGATTTTCTTTTCCGCGACGTATCTTTTCGTGCAGTATCAAGGTTTGATTAAGGGCTATGATTACCTATAAAGGGATACAATACTCGTATTACCCAGACTGGGGATTATTAGTATTAATATTATAATAATTATATCTCAACTGTAAATGATCAAATCAGAAAGCTCGATTTGTACCACGTGATCAGTCAATTAATCATACAGTTCCATCGAATTTTTCTTACATTATACTATAAAAGTCGAAAACCCCACTGCAGCGTGGTATTCGACTTCGCGTTTGCGTGTACCACGCGTGGATGCCCCGCACGCGACTGTCAACAATTTCAAAAGAGTCATCAATTCTCAAAATCAACATAAACACTCAACTCTTTGTTTGCATCAACTTTACGTTAAATTGTTAATATCCTTTAAAATGTTCCTTATACAATTTTGAATATTTTTTTACAAAATTACAGTCCACGTGCTGCCTACACGCCTACACGCTGCCTACACATTCCATAAAAATCGTGGTTTATTCAAAAATGACAGCCTGCAGCGAGGCTGGGATCTTCAATGCAGCAATCGATGAACTCAGATTGCATGTATATTAAAACGGTTATAGAGAATTTATGTTCGTGTTTTGTTGACAAATCCATACAATTAACTCGAAATTTCAATATTGCACTCAGCTATCGGAATATTGAAATTCCTCCTTCATTGTATGGTCAGCGCGTGCGTTTATTTGTGAACAAAACACTCAGAACAGTCTCTAAGCCTTGAATATATGGGGGTGTTATGGGATTAAACGAAATGTACATGTCTACCCAGTTTGGGGAGTTACAAAATAGTTTGTACCGGGTATAATAAAAAAGTGGTTCATCAGTAGTCATTTCTTAATGTATTTTTATATCTATTGGTGCATTGGCAGATATCAGGAAATCTAGGGCCGGGAACAAGTATCTTCTTCCAACTTTGATAATCCTACACTGTTCTAATACAGGCTAGTAGTTATAGGCAGATTTTAACATATCGATATATTTTATACCAGATAATCATATATAGGAGACATATGTTACATGTGCATTGAGGTTTTGAAATTTAATAGTGTATTGTGATGACCTATAGATGTGTATTACGGTCACAAATTACAAATACTCTAACATATTTCCGTCAGCAAAGAAGCGGTGAATTGAATATGTATCATAGAAAAGACATATCCCGAAACATCTTGTTAACTTAGGATATCATTTTCTTGGGATATTATACCTATATTTAATTTTAAACTTAAAATTATCTGTTTAAAAATTATCTGCTAGAGTCGAAATATATTGATACTTTGTCTTTGTTCGCTATAGATATACAAATTAAAGAACAACTGGGTTGTATACTGCTTTTAGCTTTAATAGCGAACAACGCGATTACTTCTGTCGTCTGGCTTTTTTTACTCCTTTTTGACATCTCTAACCGCGTTTTTTGACCTTTGAATCCGTTCACGAAAGCAGCTCGCATATAATATACTCTACATATTCATATATCTCCCTACGAATTACAACATAAAACATTATAGTTTATAGCAAAGCCGATAGTAACTAGTCGTTACATGGTAGTAATGTCTGTCGGCATTGCATTGGTCTACAGCGATATGATGTTTTTACCCAAAGACGAACTACATAAAGGAAATTAACCCCTGTCTAAACAAGCCGCGGTGTTTTGGTGTTAATTAAGAGAACAGTTTGCGTTTGAGGCTCTTTCAAAAGAGATTTTAATCAGCCGCTGAGTTGCGAAGCCGCTAGGTGAAAGGAATAGATCGTGTTAATTGACTCCCACTGTTTTAGTTGTGGCTAATTTTATAGGTCAGGTGGTAACACTTTGTTATCGAATGAATTTTAAGAGCAACAAGCCAGAAATGTTTAGGCCTGGCCCGTTTAAAGTTATCCCAATGCATTCTTAGCAGTTTCGTGCCTTTTACTAATCGTAGAATCTCTTAACAAATAGTAAACAAAATAACAGCTATATGTCATGCTTCTATTTTGACCCCGACGATGGACATCCCATTGTGATGCGAACAATCCCTTGAATGGCTGGGCAAGGCAAAATCGGTTGCCTGCCTGATGTTGACCAATATCGTTATTGCAAGATGTGAAGTAGTGCATTAAAAGGGGGTTTACTTTTACGAGCATGTTTTTGGAAAATCTTGAACCTACTTATGCCCCTAAGAAAATTTAACACTTCTCTGTGAAAAAGGTCAATAAAACATGTAGGCGCAATTTGTTATATATGAAACATACTGACAGATCTCATTTGATTGAAAATATTAGATACAACAAACCTACCCCACTGGACAACAGCCTGCTTAACTGACGTTAGCATCTATTTCCAAGTATGACTTTATTTATTGGCACAATTTTACCAGTACGGCTGTATAAAGATCTTGCGGGAACTGTTGGTGCGCAAAAGGCTAGTGAAGCTTGTGATGGCGATGACACCTATTACATGTTTCATATACGTACTGGAAAATCATAGCTTGCATTACCTTGTTGCTATTAAATCTGTTCACGATACCACAATGTTCTTCGACAGTTTCAATCGAACCCAATTGCTTACGATTTGCAAGAGCCTCGTCTCTCAAATACGTATCAAGGTCAGGCAGGCGCTGTGCCAATGACTGCACAGAGTACTTTGTAAGTTTATTGAGTAGCATCATAATCCATATTGGTCTTTGCCTATGCCAATTTCTTGTCAACTGTTGATACAGGCTTGACGAACTTAGCCTCATAATTTTTTGTTGTTCTTCGGGTATCCATTCCGACAGCTTTCCTCGAATATACATGAAGTGTCTCTTTATTCGCTTATACAATCTGGTGGGTAAAACATCTCGCAATTTGACGCCGCTCGGCAGAGATTTGCACCGTTCAAGGACCCTGAAACTCTGAGGGTCCGTCAAATCCAATTCAAAGTAAACATTATTGGCTATTTTAAACGCCCGCTTGCTGTTGAACGGTATATAGTCCCACACGTTAGTGTACGGCACATGAATAGTACCGAAGAAATAGACTGGTGGATTGCGATCCATGACCCAGAGGTACGAATTGAGCTGGTCGTTCTACAAACAATGTAAAAATATTCATTATGGGTAATCAATGGACATGCATAAGAAATGGTCGATGCTGTGACTAAAAATCTATCCAATCCCACCATTTATTTCATACCGTAAGACTTGGGCATCCTGTTTCTGAATAGCCTTCTGCGAGTGATCTCTTCCAAAGAGTCTGTTGAAACTGGACATTGTTCTCCTGTGTGCCGAAAATCAAAAGTTGCTCGAAACGATCTTGTAGTTTACTCTTATTTACCAAATGTTCGATTACTGATATAATATTGATAATACTTAATATTGATCACACTCCATTCACACGAGTGATAGCTAAACTCACCAGATTATTAATCAGAACCCAGAGCAGAAGACTCTGTGAAATGGCCATATGAAGCGTTTGGAAATTTTCTTGCAAAGCGTCAAAGGACCGTATTAGCGCTAAGGAAGACAAACAGATAATATTCAAGAGTACGCACACGAAACACTTCAGTTAAGTACTTAAGGTGCGAACCAGTTTGGTCATCGCTATCTGACAATATAGAAGCATCTGCGGATAGATAAGATTATTATTTGTGTTTGTTCTCTGTTGGGTGCCACTAAACAACGATTATGCCTGAAGTCACGACAAGAGAAATAAATTATCGAATCGTGTAAACTGTAAACACGAATATAGAATTAACCATTGAATAGTGGAGCATTTCCCTGGAAACCTGCCGTCGCAAGAAAGTTCACTTTTTATTCTTTCACGATAATCAGTGCATTTTACTAGCCTAGACTGATGCTGCGCACAACCCCGGCAAAGTGGAACCGAAAAAAAATGGTCAGGCTTTTATATTTTTCCACGGGTGTAGAATGTGGGGTTTTATAGGGATCACAGTCAAGTTTTAATGCAACATAGAACTTAGCAGTTCGAAGACCCAGAAATCTTTGGTTGGCTTTGCCTTTGGTTGACAAAACGTATATACATATATATATATATAGCTTTCGTTCATCTAATCTTTCCACATCTTCGAATGTCGTTTGCCTTTGTTCTCTATATCAGTTTTATGCTTTATTGTTTACTGACCCGGATGAGTTATTGTTTGTCTCACCATATTTTTATGCTAATTAAATCGCGCTTTAGGCCTAGCAAATTTTTCACAAACCTTTTTTTAACATATAACGTGCCCATATTGTAGTAAGGTAACTTGAAACTACAACGTCGTGAAATCTATAGTACTGCTGTCGGCTTCCGCACCGAATTGGGGTTTGCCCAACGGGAATTTTCTCATCGCATAGTGTTTGGTTTCCAACTTTGGCTGATTTCCAGTAACGCGTTTCAAAATTCTGTCCGGAAACCAAATAGCCATGCATGCACATATATACATTGGCCATTGGCTGTTGCGAAATCGGGCGACTTGTTTGATAGAGCAACTGAGATGAACTCTGGAAAACTCTTAGTATTAAACAACTCTGGTACGTAATCAAAGGAAATCAGAGAAACGAGTTGGTTTTTCCACATAGACAGCTTTGTCGACGTCAAGATAATTTTTCATTAGGAAGATTACAGACTTACATGCGAAGATGCCCTGATGTTCGTAGACGGAAACTGGCAATCACCGCGTTTTTAAAAATAAAAACGCATCTTCTTTGGTTTCAATCCTGACTATAGTCTATATAGTATGGAAATATTTAAATGAATTGTTACGAGCAATATCAGCAATTTATTATAAGGCAAGCGTCACTTCCGGGAACTCTGTGATTGGCGGAGAAGAATTTTCACCGTAATGGACCGGTATTAGCGGCGATCCATTACGAAATAAAAAACAGATAAATTCTAAATGAAAAAGGCACAAATAAATGCTTAAGAGAAAATATAATTGCTTTTAAAATTAGTAAGACGTCTTTAACTGTTTAGGTAAACTAAATAATTCAACATTTTGCCGGTTTTTGCTACTAATACGAATTCATGCTTTTCTTGTTTGTTTTAAGTGCAAATACACATGCCTTATGCCATATAATAAACTTTTTATTAACCTCGCTTGCTCGGTCTTTACCGAGAAATATCGGACCTCGATCTTTTTGTACTAACCTCGCTCTTCGAGCTCGGTCTATTCAAAATGACCTCGGACCGATATTTCTCGGTAAATACCTCGCGCTCGATTAATAAGAAGTTAATATTATTTTCTTATGTAAACCGTTTATTGCATGTTATAAAAGAGTTTTTCCACTGGTAAAAATCGTGCGGTACATGATATCGTATCATTGAACTGTAAACAAACTGGAACGATAACTCAGTGGAGAAAATTGAATCAGTGCTTTTTACATTTTCTGAGTTTTGAGCTGAAATACTTGACGCGCCAAATGTTGAGCCGTATATGAAATTAAAGCTATTAAAAAGTTATATTTCGAGTAGAAATTTCGAGAGTTAAGCTTAAAGGGGAATATCTAAAAATTATTTGAAAATTTCCCGGGTTTTTTCTGTGGTTTTACTTTCAAATTTCCGTTTAAGTCTTGAAAATCAGTTCCACGCTAAATATAACTTTTCAATGGCTTTAATTTGACACAGAGCCCAATGTCTGGCGTCAAGTATTTCGTCTCAAAACTCAGAAGAACTATTTTGGCTTCAAGCTAACATAAGGATGTTTGTCAGGAGTTACCGTTCCAGTTGTATAGAGTTCACTGATGCGACCAGACCTCACTGCCAGACCCATCCGCCATTTTTGGGTGGGAAACCACGCGGGGACCAAAAAAGACAGCAAATTTAAAAAGCGAGTTTTTAAAAAATATCACACAGAATTTTGGCAAATTTTTATACTAAACTGAAAGTATTTAATATATATGTAACCCATGCATATATTGTCAACATATATTTTCAACGACCCATTATGAGATGAAAAACAGAGAAATTCTTAATAAAAAGGGCACAAATAGAGAAAATTCAATTGATTTTGAAACCATAAGACGTCTCCAGACAGTTCAGCTAGGTAAACTAAATAATTCAACAATTATTTTGTTTTTATAGGCAAATGCGTATCAGGCTACTAATACGAATTCATGCATTTCTTGTTTGTTTCAAGTGCAAATACGGATCATTAAGCTTGACACATGCATATACCAGATTTGTGAAGAATTTCAGTCGCCACCAAAACTCACTATTTCTCCCGGTGTCACAGGAAATTTGCCCCCCCCGAAAATTTGACCCCCCCGGGCCAAATTTCCTAGGAAATATCCTAGAAAATTTGTCCCCCCCCCTTGGGAATTTGGCCCCCCTCTAAAAAACATAGTTTACCTTACCATTCTAGAGCATGTATAAAAGTTTTAAGTGTTTAAAGGTCTATCTAGAAACAAGCTATATATATTTTATATTTATATATTGAGAGTATAAAGTATGTTATCGAGGGGGACCAAATTTCCGAACTGTGAAATACGTGATTTGTCCTCCCCAGAAATTCTTAATTTAGCGACCTTATTATAGGCTTAGCGGTTATACATACACAGGAAAGGTTGTTTTAGGAAATTACCACTTATTTATTTATTTTTCGATTAAGGCCCCTAGTAATGTTATGATAATCCTAGAAGTTAGCCACGTGCACATTAACAATATTCGTCTTAGCTCTTCGCCGAGATGAAAAGGTTTTACACAAATAAATGAAGCAAACTAAGTATGAATACAAACAAACATTTACGATCTTGCTTTTAGAAGAAGCTTCGCGATTCTCGAACTCATGGCAATAAAGTATATGTTTTCGAGGGGGCCAAATTTCCGAAAGGGGGGCCATATTTCCTAGGAAATTGACCCCCAGGGGGGCCAAATTTCCTAGGAAATATTGAGAGAAATATGACCTCGCGTAATACGAACTTATATCTCTTGTCAACCATATAAGTTTGATACTGAGTAAACATAAATATATAAATATAAGCAAAATACCACCCCCCGTAATTAAGTGGTCTAGTTACGGCGGAACTTAATTTCTAGTTTAAGATCAGGATCTTAAAGAATTAATAAAATTGCCTATGTTAATGATGAACTGCGGGTGGTTGTCAGAAACATTTAGGCTTGACCATCCTTCATCGGTAATGCTTTATACGATGTGTAGATTGTGACTGATTGCAATTGAGCCATTGCTCAATGGATGGAAACTGGTAAAACGCCTGGCTCATGCATTACACTTTTTTGCCTATAAGGATAACAGTCTTGTAAATTATTTCCCGTTTTAAAACAAGCAAGCGACTTAAACTTTCAATCATTGTGAAAATAAGCGCAAGTGTTTTAGTTTTTGCACTTTCTCTCAAAAACTGTTTGGTCACCCTCATCTTAATGCATATATACACTGATGAATTTGAGTTGTAAGAATTCTCCGGGAATGTATATAGGATCTAGTTTCTTTCTAGTTTTCGCCAAATTTTTGCCAACACGCTAAAAGACTGCAGTAGGCTAATTCACCTTTGGTACTCATTGTACGTGACATAGGACTGCATGTGTCTCCGTTTCGCGACGAGAGGTTTCCAACAAAAGTTTGATAACAGTCATGGATACGTTTGAATGGTTGCAGTTGTATAAGAATTCACCGCTGTAACTACGCCATATGGTTTACGCTAACTACCATAGCAAACAGACTCTGATGGCTATTTTTTCTGCCGCGAACTTTGTCCAAATGAACTGAATGACGCGGTTAGCCGTTGCTCTTCCGCCCCTCTTCGACGGGGACGTGACAGTCGCTAGTGATCAACACAGCCGCGCCTGTTTAACAAAACCGATTTTAATTTATTTCAGATATGGATCTGACAACGACTAGAAATCTTTATCTCTTTCGCAGAACTATGTCCTAAACGATAGTTAAATTGTCTTCACGCCCACCTTCTGATTGTCTAGATTTGTGTATACGCATTTTCGGTCAATTCGTGGCGTTATTTTAGAATCTTCTATTTTTAGAAAAACGATTGTCTCAGACAGTATATTTCTTTATATTGTACGGATAATTTATTACACGATATTTTATTATTTTGTGTAATAAATATTCCAAAAATTATTTTTTTAAAAGAATTGGTTGTAAAAACAATCATAAACTATCATAAACTACACATAACAGCCATAAAAACTACACTAATATGAACACAAAAGTGATCTTACAAAAACTAAACTTTGGCGATCACTTTAGTCGCAAAAATACAGCTAAAAGTGTTCAAATTTGGCGCTATATTTAACGAGCTATAGTCCCGCGTTAACATTGGGGATGTGATTTACCTGCAAAGCAACTTTGCCAGCTGCCAGCATTAACTGCCAACTAAATCCAAATTTTATTTTCTAGTTGGAAATTGAATTTTAAATAACTCCTATTACAATAAAAGTCGACTTATAATGACATCATGGCTCAACTGACAAAGCAGAGTGTTTGTGACATATATACGTATGGTGTCACTTTTTTGAGAGGGGTCGCAGGTTTTTCTCTCACGGGTCGCGGGTATATTTCGCGGGTCGTGGGTCTTTTACGTGATTTCTTAGTACACATGATTTTTTTTCACGTGTATAGTAATTTTTTGACAATTTGTACTTTGCCCTCTGAATCTGTTATAGTTTTATGAATTTACAAAGCGGTATTTCATCGTTATTTCTGGTATTTGTATTTCGATAGCTGTTTCAGTAATGATAAGAAAACACATACCACATATAATTTGCGGTTACAGTTTTTGTTTTTTATATTTAAAAAGTTTAATATGCATTGCCTCGTGTTTTGCAAAATAAAATGCAGCATCGAGTTTTTGTTCGGTTTGACAACGTTCTTTCGCGTTCGTTTGCTTTTTTCGCGTTCGTTTATGCGGGATGCAAGTTGCCTGATACCGGTTTTTGCCGGCTTGAATCACGAATGCATTATTTCATTGGCTTTGACAATTTACAAACTTCTAAAAAGCTAATGAAATCATGCATTCGTGATTTAAACCAAAAACCGGTATAAGGCAACTTGCATCCGCATAGTGAAAGCGAAAAATACAGCAAATTTGTTAAAAAACTACCGATCTTCGACACTTCCAGTGTCGTTTACGACAAAAAATGGCTACTAGTTTAGTAAACGTATTTTAATTTACCTCTATGTAATTCTTTATGTTCTTTGCTGTGTAGTTCCAAAGTTTTTTACTATTTCTCCCAACGGATACGTGTTGGTTTGGAAATTAAGTTGCCAAACCTTATCAATATATCAATAATACAATAATTAGTACAGAAAATAAAAGCTAACCGCGCGCGTAAACAATGTAGTCGAAGGCTGAGTACAAACAGATTTCTGGGCTACCTATGGTACAAATTGTCAAAAAATCACCATACACGTAAACAAAAAAATCATGTGCACAAAAAAATCACGTAAAAAACCCACGACCCGCGAAATATTATCGCGACCCGCGACAAAAACCCGCGACCCGCGACAAAAACCCGCGACCCGCGAAAAAACCTGCGACTCGCGACCCGCGACAATTAGATTATCTTACCAGTGATTTTTTTAACAATATTTACACAGTTAACAAATATGGATGGCAATATTTAAATTTGCAACTCAAGCACCACGACCTTCGACATTTCCCTCTTCTCTAGCAAATTTCAAATTTTGTGAAAATTCGCGAACAGTTCATTCAAATTTTAACAGTAGGTGATTTGAATGGTTTGGGAGTTTTTTGGGACACCCACACCAACGCAACAGTAGGCGTCTCCTATTGTTAGAATTTCAATACCCAAGACAGAGCGATGCAATGGCATGCAAAACAGTTAAACATTTACAATATGTATG